AAGGTTTGGCACTCCTACAACAACACGTGGCGCAGGGAGCAGCAAGGTAAGCAGGAATCATCCTGGGACTGTCCTTGATTTATGTGAAGGGCTTAGAGATGATGCACAAACTGCAGAATTGTCCCTCTGTGTTTTAAGGGATGGTGGGAATCTCCCTGACCAGTGGCTGGGGGGAGCCTGTTGACCCCCACAGCCAGACAGACAGGGACGCCGCTGAGAGGTACATCCAGTTCCACCTGGGGTGGTTTGCAAACCCCATTTACAGAGGGGACTACCCAGAGGTCATGAAGAATTATGTGGGTAAGTCCCAGTAACCAACTAAAGGTGAATAAATCCCACTCTTTGAGCACATTACAAGGGAATACCTCCTGGCCAGCATGTACTTTAGTCAGGGATGAGGGCACAGGTGAGACATCGATGGCCCCCAGGGTGGACACGGCTCCTGAGCAGTTTGGGGACACACCAGAACACTTTAAATCACTGGTTTTCCATGTTTTGCACCAAACTCACTTCTCCAAACTAAAAGGATGAAAGATTCTTTCATCTTAAAGAAGCAATCAAACCCAAGTGGCCTCTACACTTACATCAAGCTCAGGAAAACCATAAGAATTCCTTCCCTGGGAGGGTGGGGAGGCCCTGGCACAGGTTGCCCAGAGAAGCTGTGGCTGCCCCATCCCTGGGAGTGTCCAAGGCCAGGCTGGACAGGGCTTGGAGCAACCTGGGCTAGTGGAAGGTGTCCCTGCCCATGGCAGGGGGTGGAATGGGATTATCTTTCAGGTCCCTTCCAACCCAAACCATTCCAGGATTTCACAGTTCTCTCATTTACTGCTGGTGAGGTAAAGCAAACAAATTCCCTGCTCCTCACAAGTGTTTCCTGTCATTATTCTGATAGGCAGGAAGAGCGCCCAGCAGGGCCTGGGGACATCCAGATTACCAACCTTCTCAGTGCAAGAGAAAACCTACATTAAAGGCACCTCAGATTTCCTGGGAATAGGTCATTTCACCACTCGTTATGTCCTGCAGAAGAACTTTCCCTTTCTCCAAGTGTCTGGTTACCACACTGACAGGGACTTGGCTGAACTGGTGGACCCCAACTGGCCAGCTCCGGGTCCTAAGTGGCTTTATTCTGTGCCCTGGGGGTTCAGAAGATTGCTCAACTTCATCAAGGTGAGTAGAGGAGATCTTTAATTAAAAAGAGCCAACAAAATGCCTGGTTACACACAGGAGCTGCATTTACACTCTTAGATTTTCAACAGTTCCCCCCTATATATTTACCTTGTCACACTGGGAGGTTTCCTTTTCAAATAAAACCCGTAGTTAAATTAAATTCCTAGTTACCTTTTTCTTACTAAGTAAACCTAGAAAATTGCTTTTAGGGCATTTTTTTTCTAGCTTTGTGTTGTCAAAATAAAGTTATTTTATGTAAACACCCTTGTTTGCAGACCCAGTATGGGAACCCCCTCATTTATGTGACAGAGAACGGGGTGTCTGAGGCAGCCCAGTGCACTGAGCTGTGTGATGAGGGCAGGATCCAGTACCTGAAGGGATACATCAATGAGATACTCAAAGGTAACTTAAAACAGCTTTTAGGTGTTGGACTTTTGGAGTGTTTTCACCTTCTGGTTATCTCTACTTGTCTTTTACATCATAAAGAAATACTATTGACAGGTCAAATTGTCAGCAAAAGGAACAATCAAAGCAAATCTACTGATGCTAATAAACATAATAACATGCAGGATATTTAATATTGCAACAGATCAGCAGTTTTTCCATGTTCAAAAAGGAGAAATTGCACTTAATTACCACGTTCACAAAGCTCTGGGACCTCTAAGCTAAAGACAGCATTTTTAAAGACTCCAAATGACTTCCTACTTTGCTTTTTTCCTGTCCTCCTCCCCACCTCTTCCTGGTATAAACCCAAACACCTGCAGACTTAAATACAGAGTATCTGAAGTGCCACAAACACATTTCCCAGAATCTTTTGGTTTGTGTTTGCAGCTCTCAATGATGGAGTCAATGTCAAAGGTTACACTGCCTGGTCCCTGCTGGATAAATTCGAATGGAACAAAGGATTCTCTGAAAAATTTGGGCTTTACCACATTGACTTCAAAAACAAGAACAAACCACGGTACCCAAAGGCATCTGCTGACTATTATAAAAAGATTATCAGTGCCAATGGATTCCCAAATCCAAGAGAGGTGATGTGAACTGCTGGGTTTATTCTTTTTTTCTTCAATACACGGGCAAATATCTCATAGGATTTCAGGAAACTTGTCTGAATATGGCACATGAAGTGATACTTTGGTTGTGTAAATTAGGGATGCGTTTCACAGACATTGAAAGTGGGAACAGCCTCAATTACTGTTTCCAAAGCATTCCAAAAACTCTAATTGGAATTACTGAATCAGAAGTTAGCAGTGCCCTGTCAGATTTCTAGGTAGAAAATTACATATATTCCATGTCATTTTGCAGCAAGGTAGTACATATCATGATGTGATTTTAAAAATCTTATTGAACAATTAACTTGGAGAAATATATTGCAACAAAACCCACACAGATATGAAGGAACTTGGAGAAAATCATTGAAATTTTGAGAGAATAAAGTAGTTTCGAGTCTATTATAGTGGACAAGTGCTGAGGGACAGAGAAGGGGCAGAATCTTGCACTGTAACAGAACTGCTGTCGACCTTCCCAGGTGGAAAACTGGTATAGGAAGGCCATGGACTCCTGCTCTTCCACACACCACCTCCTCGCTGCAGGTAAGGGTGGGTCTGGTTTTGTTTTATAAAAGCACTTTATGGAACTTCCAGATTTTAAATTCCTCTGTGAACAGTCCTACTAACAAGGTCCTAAAAGGGATTTTCTCCCTGAAAGCACAAAAAGCCTCTAAAGAAAAATATGTTTATTTACTCTCTCCAACTAAAAGCACTGTAGGGGAATGGATTAACTTGGGATCTTGGTGGAACACACGAACTGGAAGAGATTCTGCTTAAAACCGAGGTTAGGGATGACAGTGTTCTCCTGAAAATAAAAGTGCTAAATGCTTTTGCAAACACGAACCAACCCAGAGAGAAAATCTCTAAGTGTTTGATTTCTACACAAAGTGGAACTATAAAAGAAAAGTCCCAGGACTGGCCTAAGGTTAAGCCAAGTTTTACTCTGGTAACAAAGCCAACAGCAGCTCAGAGCAGCTGCTCAAGAACAGGAACCCAGGAGGCTCTGCAGCTTCCAGTGCCAGGCTCATCCAGCATTCCTGGTGTAATCCAGGCCCCCCCACAATTCCTGAGTTAGAACAATCAACTCCAGTGGGTTTCTGCAGCTTTTAAGAAAGATAAATGAGTATTATGGAGTCTTACAAGGAGGATGAGCTAAATTCCACATGGTAGGAAAGGTCAGTCATCCCAAATTTATCCTGCTCAGCCTCAGCTCCCAAGTTCCATGTTCTGTGGGAATTAACTGGGTTTCCTGAGCTCTTCCAGGCTTTCCTGGGGGATAAAATTCTACCCTTTTAATAAAACCCTTTTGATTTTTCAAACAGCTACAGGACAATCACAAAAAGGGCCCAAGTGCCTCCCAAGGATTTCTCTTGGACAATTCTCTACCCTTTCTCCTTCAGGTGGAGGGAATAAAAATCAAAGGCACGATAAAATACTGTTAATACACTGAAACTAATTCCTAGCAAACACCATTTTTACAGCCCTTTGAGCCCTGAATGTCTTCCAAAAATTACCTCAGAAAGAAAAAAAGGGGGAAAACTGTCACGGATTTGCTCCAGCTTTTGCAGACTGCTGAAATTTTGTTTGTTTTCTTTGCTGTTTATGCCAATGTCAACAATTTTATGCTCAAAAAAATCCTTAATTTATGCAAACTCTCTTTTAGTGCACTCCAAAGGAATAAATTTCTTACATATTCCTCATTTCTCAAATTTTAGATTCCCTGATTACTCACATGGAAATGGTGACAGAGATTGTTCTTCCTACAGTTTTCACACTCTGCATCCTCATCTGTATTGTCCTACTCATATTCTACCTTCGAAATCACACCTAAAATTCCACATTCACACACTTTCACTGGGCAAAAGGAATAAGATGCAGCTGTTTTGAGTGGTTAAAGTTCACCACAGATGCCTCTTTTTAAACCCCTGTAAAGAAACTTTACTTATCCACCTAAGCTTTTAGAGCTTTTTCTGCTCAATTCCCAAAATATCACTTTTTTTTTAAATCAAAACCCAAAGTACTTTCTCTTTCTACATCAACTTCTACTGATTTGATGTAGGAGATTTTACATTTGGTATTACTTGGGAAACTATCACAGATTTGTTCACCAGAAATACAGTTCAGATTAAAGTGATTCCAACCTTGACAGTACAAATTTCAAGGGATTAAAAGCCGCTTGCAAATTCTGATTTCAGTCTGTTCATCACTAGGCTTTTAATTACCATGTAATTGCCACTGGAAGAGAGACAGGCATCTAATTTTCAAATACAAAATTAAAGCTTTTCTTCAAATTATTAAACTGATATTTATTAAGATGTAATATTAGGAAAGGGGTAAGAAATAAGATTTACTGAGGGGAAACCAGAAATGATTGAAATTTAGTTTTTAAAGGCATGAATACTGGGGTTTTGCTTATTCTTACTTATCCATAGTTAAGTTTCTTTCTGCAGAATGTTTCTGTTTCAAATTATTTAGTCAGCATAAACTGTGGAATTTTTAAAATCAGACTATACATAATCTAACCAACCTAACACCTGCAACTGCCAACCCAACAGATTTAAATGATTAAGCCCAGCCAATCATACTGATTTTCTTCTCAAAAATTATGCAAAACATACAAGACAACACTGCTAAAATAACTCACTTCACATTGAAGGAAAGAAAAAATCATTTGAAGAGGAGAGAGAAGCATATCCAAGAATACCCCCAAATATAAACACTCCAAAATATAAACACAGGGACAAAGAAAACCACATTGTCAGAAGATCCCAGGCCCCTGGATGAACAGCTTTCCAAACCTGTAAGGATGATGAAGCATCACTTGATGTGAGGAAAACATGACATTATTGCTTGGTTTGTTGGTTAAGATAATGGACCCTTTGTACAGTGTCTGACTGCACTTTTAATGAACAGAAATAAAAGATGAAACCCCAAAGTGCAAAACTTTATTGAATGCTTGTAAATATAAGAACAACAAAAAAAAAACCTATATTTTCAAAATATTTATACTGTACAGGCTGAAATGCACAATATTTACAAACAAAATAAGTGCCTACAGATGAATTGTGGCTGTGTAGGTCCCACTTAAGCACATTAAAGCCAAACACTCAGTGAGAGGAGCTGTTCTTTAAATCAGTGTTCCTAAATAATCTGTTGGGACACAGAAGACACTGAACTTTGCCTTTACTGTACCTTTCCTGCAGACTAACCTGGATTTATGTGAAATGCACCTGACTGCACTTGGTCACTGTGATAAAATACAGCCTTTCCTCAGGGCTCCCATTTACTGTGGAGTCAGAGAAGAGACCTGGGGGGACAAAGGGGAAGGTTGGGGTTAGTCACAGTTCTTGGAAATGGCAGGATCAGTTCATGTTTCCCAAACTTCAGTCTCACCGAAGGACTTCGTGCCAAAAATCAGCAACGACAGGAGAGTTTTACCAAATCAGCACATTCTGTCAAACCTCACCCCAAAAAAGCAAATTATGTCTTCTCACTTGTTCTACATTTGATTGCAGCAAGGAATGGCTTCTCCCCTTAGCACCTGCTCTCCTCCCTGACTCCAGACCATTCCTAACAGGAAAATTTCTCTTCAAAACCATTCTGATACATTGGCAAAGATTTCAGAAATAAGTTGCAAGATTTTCTGGATAACACTTAATCATATTTGGAACTGTGTTGTCATTTCAACTCTAAAAACATAACTCAGAAAGTCACTGCTTTCTAAAAACATTCAATTCTGTAAATACCACCTCGCTCTTTTATTAAAAGGCAGAATATCATTTTGTTTTGATGAAAACTAAATGTAAGTACAAAAAACTTCAGACCCACTGAGCTCAGTATAAAAACTGAATTTGTTTGAAGGGTGTCCCTTCATTATTTTGTTCCATCCCAACCATTCCTCACCTGAATTGTTTGATGCCACATGTTCCACAGGAGGCTTAGTACTGACTTGCCACATTGTTTTCACCTCCTTTGCTCCGTGCCCACTGCTTATCTCCACCTTCCATAGCTCAGGGTGTTCACTGAGAGAATAAAAAAAGCCATCAAAATTCAGTCCCATCTGAATTTGAATGCTGCAAACACTGAGGTTTCTCTTACTTTTGGTAGAATTTCTTCACAAGAGCTGGTCTGATGGGCAGCTGAAACACGTGTTTCTCGTTGAGAGGGTTTTCCTTGTAATACTTCATGCAAATCCTACAGTATATATCAACCAGTTAATTTCTTTGGAGAAATGCTTGTGCAAAATTAGCTATACTCCCAACATTTCATTATATCCTTTAGTTTTCAATTTTAGTCCCAAAGCAACATTTAGCAGCAAGATCCAGCTGCTCCTCCTGCAGTCTCACAACTACCATTAAGGAGAGCTGGTTTTTTTAAGTGTTTCTTTACAACTGTCAAAGAAATCCTATTTTATTGTCATTTAAAGAGCAAGAAGTAAAAATGCAAGAGTTACTGTGTCAAAGGGAAGAGGTTCTCATGTCTGAACTGGAGTAAGACTCTGCAGTTGACCATTATTTCCAGCATATGGTGGAGCTTCTGAACACGATGAACTTGTTCCTGTAGATCCACTGATGTGGAAGTGAAGTAATCCTGGAACAGCAAAGAGCTTCTGCTCTTACCTGAGCACTGAATTTCTACAGACAAACAGCACATCCTCAGTAAACTAAAATAATCCTCCTGCTTCTTTTGAAAAGCCAAAATTTTAAGAGAGGCCCAGCAGACTCAGAACAAAGTTCCATCAAAGTGTGAATGAAGGTTCACTGCCCTGACAGCGACTTCTCTCAGATACCAAACCAATTATATATAATTTATCATACAGAGAGATAATATAACATATATTATGTATTATATTAAACAAAACAATGACATTCCTGCAGTTTGTTGTTCCAGCCTCATGATCTGTAATTCAGTTTCTCAGCTGATAAATACGACATGACTTTCACCCCCCCATCAGCTGAGCTTGTTTTACTTTAAACTGTTTTCAGAGTTTCAAAATAAAAATAAAGCATCTCACCAAGTAGGTTAATGTTGCAAGTTCCTGACCTGTAAAATGAACAGGAGAAATTAAAAATAATTAAAATTTAACACATAGAATCAGATGAAATGTAAGCAAGATTCAGGTAATCAGACAGGGAACTCTACCGGAGAAAAGTGCAAAGTCACCAGGAATGGAATGTTATTTATGGACAGGATTGCTCTCCAAAACAAGAAAAAAAAACCTGCCAGGTGGCCAAGAGGAACGATTTTATTTACCAAAAAGGCTGCACAGTGAAGAAAGCCACCCCACACTTTCACACAACCACCCTCCTTGGGACATACAGGTTTACAAGCAGTGAAAACAGAAAAGCAAGTTAAACAAAGAATGCAAACAGGATGACAGAGCAAAGCAGGAATGAAAAAATGAAGGGGGTAACACCAATGGTGAAATACAAAGCTCCAGTTTTTTAAATTTTGAAACCCTGTACAACTGAAAAGTTCAATTATTAAGGAGGCTGGAAACTGCACTTCAGCAGATGGGAAGAGAAGAGAGATGGAGGTTACCAAAAAGTTCATTATTCCTGCATGGAACAGCTTTTCTCTTGAATTCCTGATCAGGTAACAGGTCTCAGGCTCACCTATGAAAAAACTGACATAATCCTTCTTCATCTTATCCAAGCCAATCTCAAAGAGCATCTGGATGGGAGTGATGCCACTGAGGGAAACCACCTCCATCTTCCCATGGTAGGACTGCTGGATTAACTTCCGTAGGAAGCTGCTGCTCCCCTGATGAATCTGGACGTGGAAAAAGTTTCCTCGTGAGGTGAAACATCAGAAACATTGTTGAGAAGTACAACAATAGAAACAGAAACCAACTGTGACACAGGGAAGTAATTTAAAAACAATCTAACACAACTGAGGGCAGTGAAGTGACAGGAAATATGTGTTACTTGACGCTCCTCAAAATGTCAAGATTTATTGTGAAACACAAATACATACCCAGGGCTGGATCTCACCACGTTCCAGGGATTTTATGACCCGTGTGAAACAGTCTATCAGCTCCTGGTAGGAACTGACACCTGGAAAAAAAAGACACAATCATCTAATTATCAGTCCAGGACTGTTAAGTCAGTAACAATAACCCAACACACAAGAATAAAATCCTTTAGTTAAAGAATGAGAGCTGAAATGGCAGACTGCACTGCTTTTTGGTAACTTTGTCACATGATGGTTTTAAAAAAGGTTACTACAAATTAAAAATGATCAGACAGCACTGAACTGTGTATGATTTAGAGCATGGCAGCAGCAGATTGTCATACACGGGTTTTGGCATCATTCTCTCGATTTACATTGAAAATTGTCCTTCTGATCCAAAATGAAAACTACAGAAATTATTTTTCTGTTTCAGAGCAGATGGGCACCACCAATTGTTTACAGTCAAACAAAATAAAATCCAGGATCTGCTGCTGGATGTTGGTCTGCCTTTGGATGTTGTAAGAAAGCACATCACCTCACACCCCCAAAATGAGCTGTTTTGGAGACTGTTCACACCAATTCTCTGAAGAGCTGATCAGTCCTTGAAACTCAGAAATGTCCATCCTCCTCCCTGACAGAGCAACGTGGTCCAGCAGACACAGAGAACGGGGGAATGAAAGGGAAACCTCACAATACACTCACTTCTCATTTTGCACCATAATTGTTCAGCAAAATCCAGGTCTCCTCTCTCACTGAAGATGGATTTGATGTAACTGTCCACTGCAGCCGTGTCACATTTGATTTTCTGAAAGAGTTTGTTGGTCTTCAATAAAAAAGGGGATTGAGATTCAAAAACCTTCCATATCTTAATTTCTCCAGGGATCAAAACTGGGTGCATCACTACCTTTCCCCCTTTTCCAGGGAAACTATCACTGCCTAGTAATTTGGAAGCTTATTTTTAGGTAAAAGTGAGTGATTCTTTCCAGAATTATCACACTGGACAACTGCTGGCCTTGGATCAGGAAGCAAAGCCTCCTGTCAGAGAGACTTTAGATCCCAGCCAAGTGTTGTCTGTACACCCAGAAGTGCCCTGAGAGGTCAAAATCCATCCAAAATCTCAGAACACAGAACTAACTGCCTGTTTGCCTGATAAGAAATATTACTGGTTTAGTTGACACAGAAAACAAAATATTTTTAGCTTATCAACAAAATGCTACTTCTCTCTTGAAAGAAAATAGACCTAAATCTTTCCTTGTAGATTGAAAGGTAAAATATCTTAATATAACCAAACACATTGTTATGTGTTAAATTGTCCATTGCTTTAAAATAACATAAACTTCTAATAAATAGGACAGATATCCAGCTGATACCATTATATTGACCCGAAATCCTTAAATTAGGCAAGAAAAGCAAATTAATGATAGAATTGCCTGTTAGACCTTCTCCCATTATTTTTACGTAGTTAGGAAGTTGTATAAACCTCTGTTTCATCCTTGCTCCCAGACCCACAGTCTCCATCCAGCTTCTTCTTTAAATCTGGTAGAGGAAAAGAAACAAATTTTACCACCATGAAAAAGAAATATCATCAAACCACTCTCATTAATCCCCAGGCACATCATAAAAACACACAACTAACAGACAAAAAAGTGTTCATTTTAAAAATGGTTTTACTGGGTAAGGATGTAGCCTGAAAAGATATATTTTTTTAAAATATGTTTTTATTATAATTACTTTTACACATGATATTAGGACAAAGTAAAATTACAGATCTTTACTAAGCTATTTAACTACTCTGTGCAGGAGGTTATAGCCCAAAAATTAACAACTCTAGCACTAATGCTTTAGAAATTGTATGTGGCATTTCCTTTTATTTCTGTGCCATGTGAAATCCCTCTCCCCATGGAAAAAGCAGCCATTACCAGTCAGGAATTCCTGGACCAGTTCAACAGCTGATTCAGACTCCAGAGGCTCAGGCCACTCAGTCACACCCGTCTTCAAACCTTCAGCCAAAGCCTAAAGGCAGCGTGAGAACCAACACAACAAATCAGGTCTTGCTGGAGGCTCTGCACGAGGCACACTTCAAAATGCAGGAAACTTTGTAAGAATCATAAATCTCTGCACAGATAACCAGGAATTTAGAAACTTCCAGAATTTCTGGATGAGTTGTCCTCTTTGTATTCCAAAACTAAAACTGAACTCGGAGTTTAATCTTTAAAATAAAAGCTTAAGAGTTATCTTCAAAACAGGTGAGGAAGTTTTAAATAAAGTAAGTTATTAACACATAAAATCATCAGTCCATGTGAATCTGAAACTGGAATTTCTTCTTTGTACTTACCAGGAGAAGCTGCAGCTCCCGATACACCTGGTACACAGGACTCCTGGGATCCCCTGACTCCAGGGCAATGTTCTGCAAGTTCCACAAGTTTAAGTCAGTTCCAAACTTCAGAAATCAATCCTAAAACTGTCCTTAGCAAAAGGCACGTCAGCATAACTCACAATCTACATTGTGAACAGGTTTTGTTGTTTTATTTTCTGTCCTTTACACTGCTCATGATGTGCAAAGAGCTCGGGTTTGTTTGCTTTTCCCAGCTGGACTTACCAGAGTGGCAGCTGAAATCAGTGGGGGAGTCTCCAGAATCTTATCAACAATATTCCATGTAATATCAACATAGATATTGCCTCCAGATTCTACAGTGGTGTCCTCCATTGCAGCAACTTGGATCAGTTCATACTGAGCAAATCCTTTTGTTGTCACCTGAGAATGAACAGATTTAAAAATAAAAACATCAAAACTGCCACAGCATTGATGGGTTTGTGTGCAGGCAAAATAATTGCAAAAGCATTTCACAAAAACACAAAAAAGGGTTAATATCAGACAAATGCATCACAAATGGTACCTCAGGACAGACTGCTGTACTACAGAATCATACTAAGGTGAGTTTTCTATATAGAATCTATAAAGTTTCTCCAAACCAGCATCACAAATCCCAAAATAAGAGCTTTTAAACTGAAACTGAAGCCATGACAGAGTGTAAAAACCTACCACAGATGAATGATGCCTTCTTTTATGTTCCATTTTGAGCTCTTCCAGGTTTGCAAAACAGGTTTTATCAGCTGTAGGACCTAGGAAAGGAAAAACGTGAGAATCCAAAAACCCCATTTGACACAACTCAATGTGACACTTAAAATTCATTCTCAAATGCTCCATTTGGTCAAGAATGACTCCTGATATCCTTCAGAAAACAGGGATTCTCCTTGCATTTGTCCTGTTGGTAAGAACTGGTGTGAACACAGACGTGTTTAGTGTGAGTCAGTGGTTGTGTAAGAAGCTGAACAGCAACAGTTTAAATGTGCTGTTATTGCACAGATACAGCTGCATTAATTCTATTAAAAAGCTATTTTCCCCACACAGCACTGGTTAAAAACATCTCTTTTCTCTTTTTTTTAACCTCCTTTTGTTTTTTAAAGCCAAGAACGTAGAGCATTCCCAAGCCAACATCACAGAAAGAGCAAACACAGCGTTGTCACATCAGAATTGCCACATTTTTCAGCCTTCCTCATTTAATTTGATGTGCAACAGAAAACCTTACCATCACATGCCACCATGTAAATCGTGATCCCTGTGATTTTCTTTCCAGCTCTGAGAGGCTCAGCTCCAATCCAACAGGTGTGTTCAGGATCAGAACCATCACACCTGATCCAGAGGGGAGGAAGCACCAGGTCCCTTATTCCCAGGTGGCTCACATTTGGATTTTGCACCATTGCATATAAGGAAACCAACTGCCTAGAAATGGGAACAGGAGGAGAATTAGACGCCAGCAAATATCCTGAATTTGTCCCTTATTAAAACTTGACTCCTCTCTATCATGCTTTGTTAGCAGACTCAAATCATTTTACAAGAAGAATGCAGGATTGTAACCCTCTTTTTAGAGGCAGCACAATAAAGTCACAAAGGAAGAAGTCTAGGATATCATACTTCAAAATATAATCAACAAATGAATTTTGACTGAAGAATCTAAAATCACATTGTATTTTACATCTTGAGGTCATTAAAATATATCAGTTAGGTAAACCCCATTTTGGTACCATGACTTGGTATTTTCACAACAGTAAAGACCCCAATTTTTAAGCTTTTTTTTAACAGAAGCTTTAGCAAAAAAACAAGCACTGAAATCTTAGTAAGCTTTTTTTGGTGTCCTGCACCCAGTGAATCCCAGGAACCCAATGGCACAGCTCACAAATGCTTTTCCAGTAACTTGATTTGAGCTACTTTGTTAAAAACTTTTAACCAGGGGAGACAGTTTTTCAGGATGGAAAAGGGTAAAATCTCCTCACAAACCAGTGAGCAATTTTATTTGGGGGATTGAAAACAACAGAGGTTCTGAATACTAGGAAGAGGGACAAAAGCTGCAAAGGAAAACTACACCAACAGGGCAGGGAAACCTTTGAGACTTACTTTGCTCTTCCCACAGAAAGAGCTGCTGGTCCAGGACTCTCCTTTGGCAAAAGCTCAGAGGGAAAAAGAGCTTCCTCTGGTTTTGATTCTTCCATGGAGTCACCTTCTTCATGGTGTGTCTTTAAGAGAAAAGTGTAGGTAGATCAAAAACTGCAAAGTGTGTGAAAATATTTGATGGGAATTCAAAAGCCTGGATTACGTTTAAAAAAAATCAACAACTGGCACACAAACTTACTGCCTTCTGCAAAATATACATTGTGCTGCTCCCATTCCAAAATCTTTCGACAGGACTTTTGCAACTGCCACCAACCAAACAGATCTCCACATCAGTCTGGAAAATAATAGTTAAAACTTCTTAATATACTACATAGAAATGCTGCCTTCCAGTAATTTTTTATACCAGAAATTGCAAAATGAACTAACTCCACAGCCTGTTTTCCAACCCTATTGCATCCATTCAAGAATCCCAGTCTATTTTACCTGAGGAGAACACAGGCACTGCATGCCATGGGTGGAATCAAATCAACTGTGAAAATGCAACAACTTTCAGCCAATCATAGAAAATCTAAATTCCAACCAGCTGATTCTAGGAGACACTAAAATTTGGTTCTACGAACAAAACTTCAGAGAATCTGAACTATGAGAGAACACTGAATTATCAACTGCTGTCACCAGATATCCTTGAGATGGAGAATACTCTTTTAAAGTAACATGAAATATCAATCAGTTGCTTCTTTGACTGTCTCACAAGAGCTCTAAACACTGTTTGGAGATATTAAAAAAAAAAAATCAATTCTTTCTCAAGAAAAAAGAAACATCAATTTTTACTTAAGCTTTCCCATACAGAGAAACATTGCTTTATATCTAATCCGGTTTTTTTATATTACTATATATTTAAATAACCACCTGATTTTATTTTTGAACTATTATCAAACTTACAAAAATCCTAAAATTAATACGACTACTAAAACAACCATTCTATGATTTTACCTCGTAGAGATATGGACGTTCAGGGACACTCTCCCTTCCCTCTTCACATATTCTGAAAGAAAACATTGACACACGTGACCTTTTCCCCTCACCATTCCCAACTAAACAGCAAGTTACCCACACACACTAAACACCACCACAACCGGCGCCTCCGCCGGGGCCACAGATCCCTCAGCGCGGAGACCCCTGGGAATGACCCCGATTCCCGCAGGAGCCCACACAACCCCGGGAACAGCCCCTGGAATAGCCCCGGTCCCCACGGGAGCAGGAGCCCGCACAGTCTGGGAATAGCTCCGGGAATATCGCCGGGAACAGCCCCGGTACCCACTTGAGGAGAAGCCCGCCCAGCCTCGGGAATGACCCCAGGTCCCACCGTCGCAGGAGCCCGGCCAGCTCGGGAATATCGCCGGGAAGAGCCCCGGTCCCCACCGTTGCAGGAGCCCGCCCAGCCCCGGGAACAGCCGCAGGAACAGCCCCGGGAACAGCCCGTTGCCCACCGCCGCAGGAGCTCGCCCAGCACGTTCGCCGCCCTTCGCCGCCGCTCCGCCATCGCCGCCACAACCGAACGTCCCGCGCGCCGGAGCTACGGGAGCGCTGTGAGGGGAGGGTGAGGCACCACCCCGGATCCCTCCGCCGGAAACGAGTCCCCGGCTTTGGGAAGGGACCGAGAAGGACAGAGGCGGCCGAAGGGCGCGGGCGGGCACCAGGAGACGCGGCGGGGCCGGAGAGAGCGGGGGCTGGACGGGAGCCCGGTTGAGGTTGGGGCTGGGTCGGGATTCGACCGGCCGGCGCGGCAGAAGCGGCGCGCGCGGCGCGGAGGAACATTGGTCATAACTAAGGCGGGGTGCTGAGTCCTTCCTTTTCCGGGCGGGGCGCGGCGCAGACGGCCACGAGCAGCTCCGGCACCGCCGCCATGGTGAGGGAGCGCCGGGACGGGGGAGCCGGGAACGGGGAGTGCGGGGGGCCGGGGAGAGCCGGGCAGGCAGCGGGGCTGGGCTGGGGGAGCGGGGCCCGGCGGGCTGGGCTGCGCCGCGGGCAGCGCTCGGGCCGCGCTGGCGGCGTGGGGAGCGCGGCCGCCATTTTGGGCCTGTAGGCGTCCGCATGGGGACCGTGAGGGACCGGGACGGGCCGGGCCGGGCTGGGCCAGAGCTCGGCTTGGTGGCCTAAAGTCCCCCCTTCTTAGGGCAGAGCGGGGTTTGGGCCCACATCGCCGCCTGGCAGGGCCTTTTAGTTACCTCACGTATTAGTCTAAAGCAAAACAAGCCCCACGGGAGCGTTTGGGTCCACGTAGAGCGAAAAAGAACGGCTTCTCTAAACGCCCTATTTGTGGTTTCTTAACTTTCTTTTCTTTTTTTTTTTTTTAATTTATTTTATTGCAAAACAGGCTTTAGGAGGCCTTGGTCTGGAACCAGTTTGCAGATGAACAGCTTTTCCTGCCAATAACAGTTCGAGTTGTGCTCTGGTTCCCTCACGTCAAGTTTGGTGCTTGTGTTGGGATCTCTGCACCCACAGCAGGGCCAGAGGCTGCTAGTGACCAGTGTCACAGGCACAGACAGCACTTCCATTGCCATGAGCTCGTTAATTTTGAGGTTTTTAGTATTTTTAATGCTTCCAAAACGAATTCTGGATGGGAAAGGGAAGGAATATGCTTTGCCTATACTGTTGCCACGAGATTAATTAACAATCAATACAGTCTAATGCTATAAGATTCTTTTTTAAAGGATGCTGTTCACACTGGCAGACTCTTTTGGGGCATCCTTTCGGCCCCTTTTTCAGGCAGCTGATGCAGAGGGCAGTTTAAATCTTCATCTTGCAAACTTCTAAACACCAGGAATTTTTCAGGGAGCCCAGACTTCACAAAAAACTCATTCTGACCGTTTGATGGTCTGCAGTCATTGTGAGTGTCTGAATTGTGTTGGAGAAGTTGGTTACAGCATTTGAGCTGTTAAACATAATATAAATAATGTTAATTAATTATCTAAATAAGTATTTATCTAAATAAACACGGGTGGGTTTTCCATGGGCTTTTTAACAGCAAGTGGGAAATAGTTTAGAAAGTGTTTATCAGAGAGCCCAGAGATTCAATCCTAGAGTAATTCTGCCCAAATTCCTTGTAAATCTATAAAATTTGAGACCTAAATAATGTTAATATTAATAAATAAATTATCTAAATAAATACGTATCTAAGCAAACACAGGTGGGTTTTCCATCAGCTTTTTAACAGCAGGTGGGTATTAGTTTAGAGAATTAAAGACAGTGTTTATTAAAGAGTGCAGAGATTCAATCCTGGAGTAATTCTGCCTAAATTCCTTGGAAATCAATGAAATTTAAAACCTAAGTAATGCTAATATTAACAAAAAATTATCTAAATAACCACACGTGGGTTTTCCATGGGCTTTTTAACAGCAGGTGGGCAGTAGTTTAGAAGGTGTTTATCAAAGAGCGCAGTTCAGTGCTGGAGTGATTCTGCCCAAATTCCTTGGAAATCTATTAAATTTGAGACCTCGGCTGTAGTTTCTGGCTGTGGGTTGTGCTGTGGAGTTTCCCACTCCCACGTGGAGGGGGAATATTGCTGTGATGACGTAATTTGCGTCCTACCCAGTGCTCAGTGACAGTTGCCTGCTGTCGGTGCGCTGGCGCTGCCGGGTGACGACTCCCGAGTTCTGAGCAATATTGAGGGCTTGGCAAGCCAGGAATTGAGGAATTCCCTATCCCTGTGCTAAGAGTTCCTTCTCCCCAGGCTTGTGCTCGGCCGCTGATCTCGGTGTACTCGGAGAAGGGGGAGGCCTCGGGGAAGAACGTGTCCCTTCCCGCCGTGTTCAAGGCCCCGATCCGCCCCGACGTCGTGAACTTCGTGCACACCAACCTGCGCAAGAACAACCGGCAGCCCTACGCCGTCAGCGAGCTCGCAGGTACGCCTGGGCACCACCAGGGCACCACCAGGGTGTGCCAGGGATACCTCCAGCCCCAGGAGCTGCTCCCTCACTGGCTTGGCCGGGAGTTTTACTTTAGTCATAGAATCGACCGGGTTGGAAAAGACCTCCGAGATCATCAAGTCCAACCCTTGATCCAACCCGTGGTGGTTTGAACCACCACAAAAAATAAAAATCCAATCTCCAGCCTTCCCCCACCCCTTCCCACAATTTTACCTCAGCACCAAAGAGAAACTTTCAGGCAGATACACCTCTGTAGGGGGATAGGGAAGGGAAGATATATACATTTATTCTGCACAAATTAAATACTGTACAAGCTAAAAGCAACTATATACATATATATACACAATATTACACACGTCTATCATCCTTCTAAGCCTCTGCCTTAATTCAGTCCAGGAGGAGCCCTTAGGCTGATAGGTAAGCAGTCTTTCTCTCATGGGAGTGTTCAGGGAAAAGGATTTCCTCTAATTCACTCCCCCCCCAACCTCCAACTGTTTACTGAAGTAAGTTCCCAGCCCATGGCACTGATGCCACATCCAGTCTCATCTTAAACACCTCCAGGGATGGTAACTCCACCCCCTCCCTGGGCAGCCCATTCCAGTGGCTGATCACCCTCTCTGTAAAAAATTTCTTCCTAATATCCAACCTAAACTTCTCCTAGCACAGCTTAAGACCATGATATATAAATTTGGGTTCTTTAATACCTCGAGACGGCATCAAGAGAAGCAGCCACGGGCTTGTTCCCAAGGGATTTCTTTATTAATTTAGGGGAGCAAGTAAGGGGACTTGGCCAAAGTTCAAAAGGACACCCCACAAATGTTCTACGATACTGATGTAGCATATACTGTTAAACCACAACACTTTAGGCAAAATCCAGTAAATCCACAACACTTGAGGCAAATTCCAACCACTTCCACAACACTTAAATCGAGATCCAATCCCTCCAGCTCCAAACCACCCTAAGCATCAAGAACGGAGCAAAGAAAGACAAGCAGAGGGAGCAAGAAGAGAGGAGAAAGGGAGAGACAGATCATGTAGCTACCACCAAAGCCTTGTAGAGCAGCTCTCACCAGTCCAATGGCAGGGCTGTGACATGAGGCAAACACATGCCCTTGGTTTTATCTGCTCTGGTTCTGACCCAATAATGACTGATCTGGTGTCTAACAACTGGGAATTGGAATTAGAGAAGCACTTTTAGTGGGATTCTGCATAGAAAGCACCATGGCTGTTCTGATTATTAACATTGTTATTCTGATTTTAAATTGTGTGATGATAAAGCCCAAGGAGGAGAAGAGGGGCAGGTCTTTCTCAGGCCTGGTGTTCAAAGCACCATTAAGATTTTCTTTTTTAAATCTGGTGTTCTCAACTTCGGAATAAATTTTCCTGAAATCCTTCCACTGCCTGGCATTTCCGGGGTACCTCCATGATACCTTACTTCACAAGAATCCCTGCTCCATATTAACCACCTGAGACTTACCTGAGGCTTCTGCCAGCAAAAATCCTCTGCAAGTGAGCATTTGTTAAGAGTTGTTTCAGCAGCTTTTAGGTGCAGGTGATTTCTGCTTCCCAGGAAAGCTGTGCTGGGAATGTGCATTTTTAACCTTTATTTCTGAGGTTTCACATAAGCATTTTAACCCACCAGGAGCAGCAGTGCCAAGTTAAAGCTCCAAATGGAGGATCAAGCTTAAAAATGAGTGTGTTAACATGTTAGGTCAGCAGCAGGTATATTAATATGCTGCAAATAAGCTTATCTGGTCAAGGTTGTTCTGCTGAAATGATGAGATTCCACTTCATTGGTCCGTGTTTCTGAAACACATGATGTGTGGAAGTTCTGATTGGTGCTTGGAGCTGAGCAGCTCCCTGACTTTGGGAGGGTCCCTGTTGTCACTCTGAATGCCCCTGTCTCTGTTGCAGGTCACCAGACCAGTGCTGAGTCCTGGGGGACCGGCAGGGCCGTCGCTCGGATCCCTCGCGTTCGAGGGGGTGGCACTCACCGCTCCGGCCAGGGGGCCTTTGGGAATGTATCCTTCCATGGCTGTGCTTCCAGCAGGGGCACTGAGCTCAGCCAGCTGAAAAGTTATTCCTGAGTATCTAAAAGTGAACTGGAGTCCTCCAGTGGTTCCCTCTGTGTCTTTGGAATCATGTGACGTGTCCTGTCTTGCCATGATGTCGTAATTTGCGTCTTACTCTGTGCTCAGGGACAGTTGCCTGCTGTCAGTGACCTGGCACGGGTGGCTGACGACCCACTAACGCTGAGCAAGCACTAAAGAGTCACTTTGGGAAGAGAATATTGCAAAGGGTTGTTCTTAACTCCACCTCAGATGTGCCGAGGCGGCCGCATGTTCGCTCCCACCAAGACCTGGCGGCGCTGGCACCGCAGAGTGAACATCACACAGAAGCGGTATGCCATCTGCTCTGCCCTGGCTGCATCTGCCCTGCCAGCTCTGGTCATGTCCAAAGGTGGGAATTCTGTCTCTGGGAATGTTTGATTGAGCCAGTGTTGGGTACTGTGTGATGACTCCAAAGGAATTTTGCACCACACAGTGATGCCGTTGGCTTTCTGTGCATGGAAGCAAAGGTTTGCTTAATACTCAGGTACAGCAAGTCCTGTCTGAGACAGACCTTGAGACTCCACTGGAACTTCACTGCTGTGGTTACTGTGCCTGAATATTACTTCATTAATTTCATTGAACAGCAGTGCCAAGTTGCACCTCCACGTGGAGCATCAAGCTTAAAAATGAGTATGTTAAACATCTTAGGTCAGAATCAAGTACATTAATATACAAGGAATAAATTTCTCTTAATAATAATCAAGATCTGTTTTGCTGAAATGATGAGATTCCACTTCATTGGTCCGTGTTTCTGAAACACATGATTGTGTGGAAGTTCTGATTGGTGCCTGGAGTTGAGCATCTCTGACTTTGGGGGAATCACAGTGTTGTCACTCTCTGAATGAAACTCTTTCTGTTCCAGCCCACCAGACCAGTGCTGAATGAAAAATTTAATTTCCAGTTTATCATGTTGTATCACTGGTGAATACAGAAGGCAGTAACTTTGACACATGGGTCCAGCCAAGATCAGTTGTAACATAATCTCTTGTTAGGTCACCGCATTGAGGAGATTCCAGAACTTCCTCTTGTTGTTGAGGACAAAGTGGAGGGTTACAAGAAAACCAAGGAAGCTGTTCTGCTCCTTAAGAAGCTTAAAGCTTGGAATGACATCAAAAAGGTGAGTTGGTAAGGTGTGTTTCCAAGAGCAGGTGATTCAGCCCTACAGAGGGAATTCCAAATAGTGGTGTGTTTTGAGCCCAAAGAGTGATGAACTCCTCACTGGTCCGTGTTGCAGATCCGCAGTGATGATGGTGACGTTCTGACTGAAGCGGTTTGGGGGGGGTGCCTGGTGGGATTTGGGCTGTTGGGATGCTCACAGGTTTCCCCCTTTCCCAGGTTTATGCCTCCCAGCGCATGAGGGCCGGGAAGGGCAAGATGAGGAACCGCCGGCGCATCCAGCGCAGGGGGCCCTGCATCATCTACAACGAGGACAACGGCATCATCAGGGCCTTCCGGAACATCCCAGGTAACTGTGGGACACAGCTGCTCTTCTGGCATGAGACCGCCTGGAATGATGAGATTCCACTTCATTGGTCCGTGTTTCTGAACCACGTGATTGTGTGGAAGTTCTGACCCGCTGCAGTGGCCGATAACGCTCTTTGTAACAACCTGTTCTGGTGATGTTGAGGGTGTTTGTGACAAATGTCACAGCCGTTCCCAACCCTGAACTGCATTTGGGCAGTTGAAAATAAGTTTGTATCTGGAAAAAGTGATTCCTATTAACCAAATAATAGATTTTCACATGTAGGGGTGTGTGGCTCTGTAACGTCAAAGCCGAAAAGCCGCAACGTTTGTGCGTCCTTGATTTAATTACAAATTAAAGGGATTTCTCTGCCTGGTTCTGAACAGGAATTACTCTCCTGAACGTGAACAAGCTGAACCTGCTGCGACTCGCTCCGGGGGGCCACGTGGGGCGGTTCTGCATCTGGACGGAGAGCGCGTTCCGCAAACTCGACGACCTGTACGGCACCTGGCGCAAGGCGGCCACGCTCAAGAGTGACTACAAGTGAGTGCAGCCCCTCACACAGGCTGGGAGAGCAACCCACGGGTGTGGGGGGAAAAGGGACGCTGGGACTGCTTCCCGAGTGCCTGTTCTCAGTGAATGAGCCGTGGTTTTATCATCCACTCACACTGGGAATGTTTGTTTCCCAGCCTGCCGATGCACAAGATGACCAATACAGATATCGGAAGAATCATGAGAAGCCAAGAAATCCAGAAAGCACTGCGTGCTCCAAAGTAAGTGGTTTTGTGTAATGAATGTCACGTGTGCTTTCTCTAGTCATTGCTAAACGTGAGGTCTTGTTATGGGATCAGAAATCTCTGTGCTGGGCTGTCACAGGGCTGGGATTTCTTAATTTCTGGGTGTAAACGTCAGGAATTTAAGCTGCCCAAATTTCAGGGAGAATTTATCAGAGCTGCCATTGCAAAATGAGGTGACACTACGTGTCTGTGCTTTTCAGGAAGAAGATTCACCGCAGGGTCCTGAAGAAGAACCCGCTGAAGAACCTGAGGATTATGATCAAGTTGAACCCCTATGCCAAGACCATGCGCCGCAACACCATCCTGCGGCACGCCCAGAACGTGAGTGGGGGAGTGGGGCTGGCACACCTGGGTTGGTGCTTTGGGTGTCACACTGATCATCTCCCTGTCCTTTTCAGCACAAACTCAAGGAGGAGAAGAAAGCCAAGGCCAAGGCCAAGCTGGCAGCCAAGGCCCCGCCTGCGCCCAAGGCAGAGCCTGCAGCCAAGGCAGAGCCTGCAGCCAAGAGGCCGAAGGTGGCCAAGCCCGCGGGCAAGGCCAAGGCTGAAAAGGCCAAGGCTGAAGCGTGAGCACGGTGGGGCTGGCCTGGGGCCCTGCAGGGGCTGTGCCCGGGGCTGGCAACTAATAAATGCAGTTGGAACAGAGAAAATAGTGTCAGTTGTGGGTGTCTGAGCAAGAGCTGAAAAGGAAACTCTTCAAGGAAGAGTGAAAAAGGAGAGGGCCAGTCGGGCTGAGCCCGCGGGCGCTGGGCCGGGCCCGATGCGGGTTCAACCCGCGCGGTGCCGTGACCAGCAGAGGCCGCGCGGGGGCAGCACCGCCCCTGGGGGTGTGGTTGGCGCCGTGACGTTACGCTCGTGACGTCACTCGGGCGGGCAGTGACGTCAGGGGGCCGGGCTGCGGTGCCTCCTCCCCGGCGCCGGGGGCGCTGTGCGGGCCCGGGCGGGGCGGGCGGCGCGGGCCGACGATGCTGAGCCGGCTGCAGGAGCTGCGCAGGGAGGAGGAGACGCTGCTGCGGGTGAAGGCGGCGCTGCACGACCAGCTCCGCAGGCTGCGGGTGCGCGGGGACGGGAATGGGCACCGGGAGCGGGATGGGGATGGGAGCGCCGGGAGCGGCAGGGCCGGGCCCGCCCCGCGGTGCGGACCCGCTCTCCCCGCTCCGGGCGGGGAAGGAGAGGCGGGATGGTCCCTGCGCGGGTCAGTCCGCGTGAAAGGACACCCGTAAATCCCCTCGGTGCGTCAGGTGAGAGTGGGATCCATCTACTGCTGCTCCGAGAGGATACACCCACATTCACCTCTGACATGTGGGGTACACGTGTCGTACGTAAGGATACAAGAGGTAAGTGGAATTGTGAGTATGCAGGATACAAGAGGTAAATGGAATTGTGGGTGTATGTAGGGTACAAGAGGTACGTGGAATTGTGGGTGTATGATTTGCCTTCTTGGCTGTTGCACAGAGAAGGGATAGTGAGTCTGAGGTGTAGCTGAACTAAAGACTAACTGGGTTTTGAGAATCCTGGGTAGGGTAATGAAGGAGCTTAGAACAGCAGTGCAGAAGGAAACAAAGCTTTTCCAAGACTGGCAGGTAAAAAACCCCAAGAGCCTGAGCCAAAAATGTTGTGCAGTGTGAAATCCCTCGGGGTGGGTGCTGGGTTTGCGTGTTCAGTGTTTTACAGAGCCCAGGCAGTGCTCAGGGTTGTGCTGCTCCCTGTTCCCAGGTGGAGGAGCTGGCGCTGCAGTCCATGATCAGGTCCAGCGAGGAGAACGTCCCTGTCCCCTCCTCAGCCCTGCCAGGGGACACTCAGCAGGTGAGGGGGGTTGTGCCCGGCTGTCCCCGGGGTGGGGGCTCAGCACGAGCAGAGCTGTGGCCGGGGGGGTTTCACGTTCCTCGTGTCGCCCTTGTCTGTCCCTGCCAAGCTCAGCTGTAAAATGCCTGGGCTGGTGCTGGTTTGTGGGTTTTGCCCTTTCCCATCCCCGTTTCCAGGGGGTTGGGAAGCACCACTTTGGTGCAGGTTCAGTTCACTGTTTATTAAATATTATGTCTGATGCTCTGAACTGTGACACTGGGACTGCACAGCTTTAATGCTGATTTGAGAAGTGATTTGGGGTCTCATAACCAGCTCTTTTCTTGTGCCAGACTCTTGGGCAGATGGACAACGAGGCTGCCATCAATCAAACCCAGCTACACCTCAGCCTTCAGGACCATCAGGAGGAGGAGGAGGAGGAAGAAGAAGAAGAGGAGGAATCAGATTCTTGAGAGGGGAAAAAAATCAGAGATGGTTTTTGATACAGACTCAGGAATTTCTTCTGCATTCATTTAAAATTCACCAACTGATTCCCATGTTGTGCTGTGTGTGGATCTGAACTATGTGAGACATGAGACAGAGTCCAGGGCAGTGACACTGAGCACACAAATGTCACAAGCTGGGCACATCTTGACTCAGATGTTAAAAGAATGAAAATCTGCTGCACAAATATGTAGCACAATCCATTCCACACTGAACACCTAATGTAGCTTTTACAACATCCTTGGATGTGGAAGGGAGAGGTAATTAATCAGCCAGACTAATTTAACATGGACACTAAAAGCAATAACTCACCTGCTCTCACTTCCTGATGCTGACAAACAAAATCAGGTGCTCAACCAATGATTATGTTACAACCTCACTTTGCCTAAACTGGGAATTTTAGATACATGGTGAGAAAAGATGTGTCCAGGGTTGTCTCCAGCTTTCAGCTGCCGTGTTTTCAGCTCCATGGAAAACTGGAGTTACTCCCAGTGCACTGGGAGTGCAGGTCCAGCACCATCAACCCAATTGTGAGCGCAGCACTGAGGTCCCTCTGTCCCCACTGGTGCTCTTCAGTACTGTCAGTCTGTCCAGTGAAGTTCTTTCTACTTCCCGCTCTTCAGAGTAGCAGCCAAGGAGCCTTTTACTTGTCCACAAATTGTACAGTAGAAATTGGTGCTTGTATTAAGGAAGTAATACTCTTAAATTGCTGTTGTTTACTTGTTCTCTCACAGTAACCTCATAAGTCAGTGCAGTTCCACCTGCTTTCCTGTGATCTTCAAGGAGGAGTTTAAGAGCTTAGTTATAAATGGAAGGTGATTTCTGTACTTGGAGAAGGGTCTGGAATCCTGGGTGTGGGCAGGACACACCATTCAGGCTCCAGTGAGTTCCTGCCCCTGGTTAATGAGAGACTGTTGATTTGGCTTTTATTTGGTTTGTACCAATAGAAACTGAATGTTGGGATGTAAATGTAGCTTCATCCTGCACTAGACTAATTAGATTTTGAGGATCCTGGATGTCTTAAGGAGTGCAGAAGATTCAGTAAAGCTTTCCCAAGACTGACAGGTAAAAACCCCCAAAAGTCTGAGCTGAAAATGTCATGGAGTGTCAAATAGTTCCCTGCAGGTCTGTGTGAGAAGAGCTGGTTTGGGAGGAGCTCAGTGGCCAGCCTGGCCTTTCTTGGCACATTTCTGCTCCAAAGGGTGGTTTGGACTGTTGAACAGTGTTATTTGTGCCCAGCATGGTGCAGAGTGGTTTCCATGGATATAATTCCTGATGCCTTTTGTGAATGAGCCCCTTGCTTGCTTTTGGGTTTAAACAGACCAGTTCTGTTGCATGTTGCAATAAAGTTCTTTCCCTGCTGTCCTTCCATACACCTGTGCCTGCAGTGTCCAAATTATTGCTGTCTGGGGGGGGCCAACATGTGAAGTGGGAGTTAAATCCCTAAAAATGTGCTGTTCCCACACTGCACATGTCTTTTACCAAGCAGCCCAAGGGTGCCAGTGGAGCTCTGTGTGCAATCCAAGCTCAGGGAAGGGTTTAATTTACACACTGCCCAGCTGTCACTGCTCCAACAGTCCCATTCCAGCCAGGACACACTGGAGAAACCTTGGATGTGTCAATGAGTCATTTCCTGCTCTGCTGGGCTGAGGGATGTTCTATCCCTTTGATATTCAATCCTGCTGGCCATGTGGAAGTTCATGTCCAGGCTGATGGGGATTCCTTTTGGGAAAGAATTTCAGGCATTTCCTGATCAGAAGATCACTATGAAGTGCAGTGAGCAGATTAAAGCCTTGGTTAAGTTTTTTGAGTCTTAAAAGAAAGCTTCAAGAAGTTACTTGATAATATATTTATTAAGAGAACCCATTGCTAAACATCTTGAGAGAATAAAACAATAGAGGATCTTCATACATTTTAGACACTAAACACAGTTGTCATGAATCTTTAGGTTAAAAGAAAGCAAAGTGCTTGGATCATTGTCTTGATTCCATAGGACATTTCCAAGAACTAACTTTTAAAAATCAATTAGAAAGACAAACATCACTAAACCCAAGGATGATGATATGTTCGAAAAATAAATATAGAAATATGAACAAGTCTACAATTAGAATATTGCCCTGTACATTCCAAGAAATGCAGAGCTCTTGCCTTCTTCACCTGGAAAGAGAGAGATCTCTGAACAACAGCACAATTGGAACCCTTAGGCTTAACTTTCAGGTACAGCTGGGCAGCAGCAAAGCTTGACAGACAGTTTGGGAGCATCCCTATCCCGTTCTGCAGGGGGAGATCAGGGAAAGCATGATTGAAGTACCAACGATTTACAAAGAGTCTTGAGAAAGTTCAAACCAGCTGGGGGGGCAAACCCCCTCCCCCAGTGATATTTTCATTAAGAAAGAATATCCATAATCACCTAAAATCAGCAAGCACTGAACTCACACAGCTCACGTTTTGGTCGGTGAACGGACGGGACCCGAAACGATACCAATTAGTTTATGACAAAGTTGAAAACCATTTGGCACATGCTATCAAGACATTCTTCCTTAAGAGGTGAAATACATGTTTGAACAGGTACAAGCTGAGGGAATGGGACTGGAATAGCATCTTTGTCCCCAGGGACAGCCCGGGAGCTGCTGCCCCAGCTCAGACTCCGGCGGCGTGTGTGGGGGTGCTGGGCTGGTTAAGGCCGATGGTGGAGCAAAGCCACCCCGCAAAATCCACCTCCTCTGCTTCAGACCTCTTAATGAAGGCGTGGATCTGAGCACAGGAGAACAGCAGGTTAGTCAGGCACTCAGTCTGCTCAACAACAACCCCACCAAACACGAGAAACCCAATAAATCCACTCGCAGTAGTCAAGCTACGGAATAAAAACTTGGCGGAGCACGTGGAGTGACAGGAGGGCTTTTCTGCAGGATACAGCAACAACCAGCACATGAGATGTACACATGGCAAACCATTCCAGAGGAATATCAGCCTCTAACCAGCCCCCTGTAATCCTTTTCTGTAGGATACAGAAACAACAGGCACATGAAACGTGCACATGGCAAACTATTCCCGAGGAGTCCTGCCCACACAGAGCCTGCTGCAGAGCACTTACACCACTCTATATGATAAGGATGTGACTCAGCCACTCGAGATAATACCCTGGAAAATGTCTGCCTGTGCTCTGGGAGGCTTTTTGGAAGAGCGGCTGTTTGCATTTTGCACCACAGGGCAGGGAGAAGTTGATTTCCTGCAGTACAACTCAAGTCCTGGCATTGCACTTAAAACCATGACAAGATTCACTGAGACTCGTGTGGTCGCTTCATGTGAAAAAATGCAGGATTTTTTTGTGCCTGGTGCTACAGATTTTGCAACACAAAGCTGGCAGAAAGAGAGAGAGAAGTTTTGTGTTTCATAACAGAAGATAAAAATGTATTTAACTATAAATGGACCCATATACTATGAGGAATTTTGTTCTTTTGTCATCCCAAAAGTAATAATATATATGTTTTATTAATGACTAATAAATCCAAGAGAGAATTCTTCTGATAATTGATTTATAAGCATTAAAATATCAAAAGGCAGACTCCAAAACCCACCAGTTTTGGTCTCCTTGGCACTCCCTGTTCTGGGAGTGTGTGGAACCTGCAGCCCCTTCATCTCTGGGTTAGAAAAGCTGTTCCTCCTCAAACTCACATCAAGGGCCACAAACACACCCCAGGCCATGTGCTCTGACCTGCTGTGGGGCAGCTGAGGAAGCCCAACCTGCAGGGAAGGGGGGTCTTAATTCAAATTAAGAACATTCACTTACCATCAGCTGCTTCAGGTCGGCTCTCTCAGCAGGATTTTTAATTAAACTGGGAAAAGACAAAGTATTGCACAAGTTACACACTGTCACCTCTCAAAACAAAGCTCCAGTTGGGTCATGCTGGGTGTGTTTGGCTCTGAGGACTGTAGGTAAAAGCCTCAGCACTGTGGTGCCCCTCAAACACTGATTTGGGGCTGTAATTCCCTTCTGTGGGTTCCAAGGGACAGATTTAGGGCTGAAATCCTGAGCTGTGACATTGTTCAGTGGAGGCAGGAGGAGAGTCTACAACCAAGCTGGAGAGATAAATTCCCATTTAAACAAAAACAACAGGAACCACTTTATTCCTCAAGTTTTTTACCCAAGTCTTTTCAAGCTCAGTATCAGGTAGAGCCATGGCATTGCTGTTCTTCCTTTTGGAAACTGGAAGGACACATATTTAATAAATAAACTAACTTTTCAGAGTGCAATGAGCTGCCTCCTTTAGCAGTGAATATCCTGGTTCGGTGCTGGGGTCACTGGAAAGGTGAGGAGATGGGGGAATGGCTGCTGTGATAAAGGTGCTGGGTCAGGGACACACCAGGAAAGAAAAAACACCTGGGGCCTGCAAGACTCCTGCATCCCATGGCACAGCTCCTGCAGGATGAGGTGCCAGCTACCCTTGGAAGGGATGATCCTGTTCAGGAGCTGGTTGGGCTGTAGGACCAGTCCCTGAGGGCTGGGGGGCCTTCAGTGCTGAGGAGGTGCTGATCTCGGGTGCACAGATCAGCAGAAATTCAGTGTGAAAGAGGGGAACAGCCCTCAGCTTTGGGGTTCTCTGTAAAATGAACTTTGGGCACAAATTAACACACCAAGAGGACTGTGCTAACTGCAATGACTCCACATTTGCCTCGGCCCAGAGCAGGGACATTGATTGCCAGGGGGCTGGTTCAGAAAGGCAGCAGGGCTGACCCCCAGGGTGCCCCTCTGCCACCCAGCCAGAGAGTAAATACTCACCATTTGTTAACAAAATCTTGAAATTCAGAACCAAAAACACCATTGGGCAGCTTTGGAGGTGGCTACAAAGAAATAAACAAATAAATGTTTAAAATCAGCAGTCATCCAGCATAACTCCATGTCCTACATGTGAGCAGAGCTGGGAAGCTCTGCCTGATCTGGGTGATCACTCACAGCTGCAGCACTTCAGGGATTTCAGGATAAAGCAGAGCAGAGACCCTTTCTGAGGCGTGGGGTGGGTTTTGGTGGGTTTATTTTCCCTGCACACAGCCCTGAATGGGGTGGAAAGCCTGAGCTGGCACTAAAGGAGGCACAGTGTCCTTCTCCACATTCCCAAGGGAAAAATGTCCTGCACCTCATTAGTACCACAGTCATTTGGATCTAAATATTCTGTTCCAGGGAATGAGTTTGTTCAGGCTCTGAATTCAAAAAGAGTTCTGATACTGGAAGAAGAGGAACTCCAGAAACCTGTCTGCTATTGCCTTGTTCTCCAGGACACCTGCTACAGGACCAGGGATAAGTTTTCCTTCTGCAGGTCCTGGAAACACACGGGGTTGTATCTCCAGAGCAGAGATGTGACCTGCTCTCAGTTACTCCCTGCTGTGTTGGAGGGAGCAGCTCTTGCTGAAGATAGTGCTAAATCAGAGGTGGCAGGAGATAATCTTGCCAAATTCTCAACTACTGCAGCTTTTCAGCTCAAAGTGAGCCCTCAGGGATGCTCCAGGAGCTGGGCCACAGCAGCTCCAGTAATTCAGTGCTCACTCTGTTCCAAGAGTTGGTGCTGGCATATTAAAGTGTTATATAACATGCAAAAGAGCTCTGTAATGTGAGAGAGCTGTGCAGGCAGACAAGTTACAGAAGCAATTTGTCAGTCCATGAACAGCAGCACAAGCAGTGCAGGGATCCAGCCACCAACTGTGCCTTTTAAATAGGTGTGTTGGACACACTTTTAATAATTCCTTCCCCTGGAACAATCATTATCCAGCTCTGACAAATGACAGCTAACATGAGCAGGATTTTTTTTTTTTTGGAAGAACACAAGCAGTGGAGTCACGTGAGCTCCAGCAGAACTTGTGAAAATACTGCAAACACACAATCAGTCCTAAAATATCAATCTCTAACAAGCCTTGGAGCTTAGCTATTTGAAAGATATTTTTGTGAATTAGGTTGGTCATAAGACTAAAGCAAATGAAAGAGCACTGACCCCACATCCCCTCAAATTCTGGGATGCTTTAAAACTTTACAATTGTGTGAGATCAAACTGGTAAGTGCATAAATTACCTCGTTGACGATGTAATCAAGGAGTTCAAAGATTGCCATGGGGGGTCTGCTGTCTGGTCCATAGGCTGAGGAGGAATTGGAGAAGTGGAAAAACACAGGTTTAGTCTCCTTGCGTGATAGGGGGGCTTCAGGAAGCCCAAGTCATGCACTCTTGTTACTTTACAGGAAAAGGAGGTGCAACAGCAACTGGGTAACAGTTTCATGCAAGGAGATACTGCTTTAGGTCTGATCCAAAGCATAAACTGCTCTGGGAATTGTCCTGCTGCCCTTGGATCAGCACTGCATCTCGGAGAGGAACCCCACCAGGCTGGG